TAGGTTTAGATATAGGTTCTAAAAATAAATTCTGTAATGACTCAGAAGACTTGATACAAATGATACCTTTTGAAGTAAGAATTTTTATTGGAGGAAATTTAAATAGAAATGTTGGTAGAGTAATAGAAGATTTTAGAAATATTCATGGTGACTACGGTCTTGTATTGATTAATAAAGAAAGTAGAACCATGTTAGGTTTTGCTTTAGCATATGATTTTGTTATTGCTAATATTTTTTTCAAGAAAAGAGATGAGCATATTATTATTTATAAGAATGAATATAATAAACTACAAATTGATTATTTTCTTATGAGAAGAAATCGCCGATAATGTAAAGATTGTAAGGTCATTCCAAGTGAGCATTTAAGTACTCAACATCGATTATTAGTTCGTTTTTAAGTTGAAGAGTTGTAAAATAAAGAATACTAGGGATCATTGTCGTAATTAGATGGGAGCACCTAAAATACATAGATAAAATTATTTTTATGAGTAAACTTCAAGAGTTGGGATGTTCATTGAAGAAATAAATTCTATGTGAGATAAAGTAACAAACACTATTAAACATGTGACAAAAGATGTACTTGGACAATCAAAAGAAAAAAGTTTCTATAAATAAAAATAGCTGGTGCTGAAATAATAACTTGCAATAAAAGTTAAAACATAAGAAATTATGTTATAAAAATTAGTTTAAATGTAAATACTTAGAGAACTGAGAAAAATATAAAATGACCAGTAATGAGTCAAAGAGAACAATCAGTGACACAAAAAAATTTACTTTACTGATCTTTATAATATAGTAGATACTAAACATGGTGAAAAATATATGTATAAATAAGCCAAACAAATTGAAAAAAAGTAAATATTTAACTCAAGTAAAGTTTATTAAAGATGAAAATAAAAAATTACTTTTTTAGAAAAAAATATTTAACATAGGTGTGTGCGTTATTTTGATAAAATTTTTAATGAAGTCTGAAACACGATCGACCGTAGTGATCTTAATATTGTTAATAATAATGAAATATTTCATTTTTACCATTGAACTAGTAAAAAAGAAGTTGAAGAGACTTTAAAGAAAATCAAGGGTGGAAAGTTTGTAGGACCTGATGATATCCCAATTGAAGTGTGTAAATAGATAGGAGATTTGAGAGTTTCTTGGCTTACTAAAATCTTTAATATTATTTTAAAAACTAAGAAAATTCCTGAGGAGTGGACAAAGAGTATTTTGGTCCCCATTTTTAAGAATAAAAGAAATGCACAAGAGTGTTCAAATTGTAGAGGAATTAAGTTGAGGTATCATACTTTAAAATTATTAGAGAGGGTAATTGAACATAGGTTAAGACGTATTACAAAGATTTGTCATGATCAATTTGGATTTATGTCAGTCAGGTCTACTATGACAACTATACAATTATTGAGAGATTTGATGGAGAAGTTCAGAGAGAATAAGGAGGATGTACATATGATTTTTCTTTTTTATTTAGAAAAAGCTTACGATAAGGTTCCAAGAGATATCCTTTGGAGAGTTCTTGAGAAGAAATTTATTAATATGATTTATAATCAAGTCATTAAAGATATGTATAATAGAGCTGTTACTTGTGTTCGAACAGGAGGATTGACCAAATATTTTTCTATTTCAGTTGGATTATATCAGGGATCGGCTTTAAGCCCATATCTTTTTGCTTTAGTTATAGATGTTCTTATTGGACATTTATAGGAGGATGTACCTTGGTGTATGCTTGTCACTGATGATATTCTTCTCGTGGGTAAGACTAGAGAGAAAGCTCAGGAAAAAACTTGACATATAGAGGTCTACATTGGAGTTTAAAGACCTTCGTTTGAGTAGAACTGAAACTGAATACATGGAATGTAATTTTAGTAGTAGTAGATATAGTGACAGAGTTGTAACTATGGGTGATCAAATTATTAAAAGTCGTGAACGCTTTAGATATCTCTGATATATTGTTCAAATTGATGGTGATATAGATGGGGATGTTATTAGTAGAATTCAAGTTTGTTTGTTGAAGTGGAGAAATGCTTCGGGCTTATAGGGTCTGTTTGGGGCAGCTGCAGCTTATCCAGCTTCTGCTGATAAGCAGCTTATCCTGATAATCTGCTGATGAGCAGCTGATCCGGATAAGCTGTCTGGCTGTTTGGTTGACGCTTATGGAAAACAGCTGATTGTGATAAATTGACCATTTTGCCCCTGTTCTGAATAAGCAGTTTAACTGTTTGGTTAGTGCGTTTTGTAAATGCTTCCATACTGATGAGATTCCTACCCAGTAAATTATATTGATCTCACTCCCCTTATCA